ACAGCCTGGCAGGGCTGGATTCCCAATTCCCAGTGGATTCCCACAGCCTGGCAGGGCTGGATTCCCAATTCCCAGTGAATTCCCAATTTCATGTGGATTCCCAATTTCATGTGGATTCTCACAGCCTGGCAGGGCTGGATTCCCAATTTCTGGTGGATTCCCAATTCCCAGAGGATTCCCACAGCCTGGCAGGGCTGGATTCCCAATTCCCAGTGGATTCCCAATTCCCAGTGGATTCCCAATTCCCAGAGGATTCCCACAGCCTGGCAGGGCTGGATTCCCAATTCCCAATGAATTCCCAATTCCCAGAGGATTCCCACAGCCTGGCAGGTTGCAGCTGTGTTTCATTGTGCCCAATTCAGCTGACAAAGGCTGAAATTTCGCTGCTTTCCCTGCATTTCACCTCCTCTTGGCAGATGTTTTGCTCCTCCCCCACAAAGGCTTGGCAGCCCTAAAAAGCCCCACGTGGCCGAGGCTGGATGGAAGCCAGGGAAAATCAGAGATATCCCCACATCAGGAGAAATCCTCACCTTGAACAGATCCCACCAAAGTCAACGGTTTTACCATTAACAGCCCAATTTACCATAAATAAATAAATTAAATAGAATGATAAATTACAGGTTTGGCTTTTTTCTCCCAAGTCTCAATTCTTGTTAATGCTGTTGTGAACATCTGTTTCCATTTTAGTCCCTGAAAAAATCAAGTTTTTATTTCTTGAGTCTTTTGTTGACCTGATGATTTCTATCAGAAATGTTTGCTTGTATTAAGAGTCCAGGGTTTTCCTGGATTTCCCACAGTCTGACATTATCCCCACCTCACTGTAGCTGTGAAAACAGACACCAGAAGTCAGATTGAGCTAAAGACTCTCAGAATTTCATTGATTTCAAAATAACTCTTTCACTGCTTGGCACTTGTAAAAGACAACATTCACCCACCTTAAAATATATGTCAATTTTCCACCTATTTTGCAAATTTCTCTGCATAGGTAGAGAAATTTGCTTAGGGATCTTGATTATAAATAGGACATCAAGTAATTTTTTAGGAACAGTGAGAAAAAAAATGGACATAGATAGATCAATTTTAATTTTGTGTGCATTTATAGGATCAAATCCAGAGACCTCAAAGCTCATAGGAACAAGCCTGAATCTCTCCTTACTAAACATGTGGAACTGCCTGATGTCATTCTGCACAATCACAAACTTTTGGAGGATATTTATAAATGATGGGTTGCCCCTCAGCCTTGATGTTCTCTCTGTTTAACAGGCTGAATTACAAACACCATGTCTGTATTTTCATTTTCTTATGCTGCAGCACATTATGGAGAGCATCAACTATTCCCTTGCAAAAAATATTATCAGCTGAGAAAATGGCAATAATTGAAAAAGGTGACAAAGGGCAGCAGCTCCAGGGTGATTATTCTGCCATCATTCACTCTGATTAAAAGGACAGGGCACTGCCTGGCACTTGGGCAGAAATCAAAGCTGATTTTCAGTGCCTCAAGACTAAAATCACCTTCAGGGCTCCTTCCTGGGCCAGAACCTCTGCAGCCACGTGGGCACAAAGCTCCAAATCAGATGCTGAGATGATCACAAAGGGAGAATTCCAGCTGAAAGATCCACACCATAGCTCTGCTCCTCCCCTGGCAAATTTCCCTTCTTCCTCTTTATTCCCATCAAGCAAATGGTTCCACACCCCTCAATTCTCACTGTAATAGACCCTAAGCATTCTTATTTCCCTGAGGTGGCAGAAAATCATCCATATTCAAGGAATGGGGGTTGTTTCTCTTTTTTTCCTCCTGTACTTCAAGTTAAATCAGCTGTCTCTTTGCATTGCTAAAATTCAGCACATTCTTTAAAAAAAAAAAAATTAATTCCAGTGCAACTGTGCTCTTACAAAATCCTGAACCTCAGCATAATTACATAAGGAACACACAGGCACAGAAAAATTTGTTAATCTTTCATCACAGACAAGTCCCCTACAAAAACTGCTTGGGAAACCACAACAACTCTTTGGTCCCGTGCTCCCAAATACCCCATTCATGGAAAAAAAAAAAATAAACACATATTAAACCACGATGGGATTAACAACAGAGCAGGAGAATGGTAAGCACAGAGGAAGAGACAACAGAAAAATTAACCCAAGGACTCATTTTGCATTTCCTCACATGGACACATGGTGAGAACTCATCTGTATTATGTTAGCACCATGGATAATGAATAATGAGGATTTGCTTACTCTGTTTTACATAAAGGTAATTCAGATTGGGTGGGTGCAGAGTGCTCTGAAACAGAACAAATCTGCATTAATTTCCTGATGCAGATATTTAAAACAAGCACTTCATAGGATTTTTGTTCAGAAATGCCTGCATTCACAAGGAAAACACTCACTCCCCACCAAACACAGGAAAGATGACATCACCTCCCAAAAACACTTCCCCTTTTTTGGGCTGCACTCCTCTCTCACTTAAGGGATTTCTTTCTTTCTATTTGCAAACCCATTCTTTCCTTGTTACAATGCTGAGGGTCACCAGCTCCCAAGGTGCCACATGGCAGACCAAGACTCTCAAGTATGTGGAAGAACTCCAAGAATTATCTCTGGCCCTTTCTCTAGTCTTTATATAGTCTGAAGAATTTTTCCATTCCTGTTTGGGAGCTTGGGGGTGGCGGGGGAGGGTAACAGATTGTTTTGTTTTAAGTTATTTTTATTAACTGCCTGCTATCTGCTGACTGCCTGGGAAATTTATTGCAAACACTGGCCTCCATCTGGCCTGACAATAAAAAAAAAAAAAAAATTAAAAAAGAACTGCACAAGAATGAATGTCAAGGAGGAAAAAAAATTAACAGATGACATGGCTCCTACAAATGCACCAAATTACAGTTGCTGGCTGCATCTCAAAAGCTTGCAGATGTTCAGAGTCTGAATGTTCTCATGACAACTCTAAAACAGGGTCTCAGATTACAAAAATCACTCAGGAAGAGGAAGGCTTGAGTGGAAACCATTTTCTCTTTCAGCATTTTTTTTTTTAACCATCTTGGCATTTCGTTACCCATCATGAATTTTAGATACTTTACAGCTCTAAAAAAAATACCAAGCTCTTTCTAAATAATTAATATTAATTTATTCAGTGAAAAAGATTATTTGAAAAGGTCACTTTTCCTTCTGCCTTATTTTCAATTCAGAAAGGGAGAGAGGGAACATAACCAGCCGTGCTCACGTGCTTCAAGCAAGCAGAACAACCTCCATTTCTCTCTCTCTCTCTCACAGCAGAGTTCCTCATTTCACTGGCAAATCCTCCAAAAAGTGAAAATGCTTTTGTTCCCTTCTTGAGCTTTAGATAAAAAGCTGTTTGGTTTCGCTGTTTGTTTGTTTTTTAATTGAAAATCTCCAGCAAGCACAGAGCCAGGTAGCTTGGCCAAGTGTTTGTCTGCAATTCACGTGCAAGGTCTCCCTTCCCCGATTATCTGGCTTCCCACTGCTGAATACTTCCATGTATTGTGCTGGAACTATTGAAAGCATCAAGCACTTCAGTTCCTGGGTTGTCCTTTGTGGTACCAGAAAACAGAATCATGGAATCATTTTGGCTGGAAAAGCTCTCCAAGACCACCGAGTCCAACTGTTACCCCAGCACTGCCAAAGCCACCATTAAACCTTGTCACTAAGCACCACAAAAATGGTTTTTAACTGCTTTTTAAATTTCTACCCACTCCACCACTGCCCTGGGCAGCCTATTCCAGTGCTGGACAATCCTCCCAGCAGGGAAATATTTCTTAATATCCAACCTAAACCTCTCCTGGCACACCTTGAGGCCGTTTCCTCTATTCAAACCATATAAATAATGGGCTGCAGCATCATACACATGGGTGCACTTTAAGTCTCCAAAAGGAAACAGAGCTCTGGCAACCTAAGGATACCTGAGCTGACACCTGAGCTCCCACAGAGCCAATGCCACCATCTCACATGTCCCCACACCCCAGCTCCTGTCAAGCCCTACCCAACACATTTTCAGAGCTCAGGAAATTTTATTACCTTTGTATCCACAAACCCCCCCGACACAAATACAACCTCTTCTTTCTCTCCATAATCCCTCAGCCCCTCCCAAACCTCAGCTATCCCTACACTAAAATTCACTTTTCCTGCCTTTTTTTTTTCTTTTATTGCCAAGATAGCCCATGCTGACCTCTCCCAAACCAGTCTCAGGTTTATCCCCTACAGAAACACAACCCCAAAGCCACTCTGTGCACAGCAGCCCTGCTCCAAGCCCCCTGGGATGTCCTGCTGCTCCTCACCCACACATCCTCCTCCTCTGCAGGATTCTGCTTGTGACAATCCCTCCATCCACAAGGTCACATCAGGGCCCTGTCTGCCGTCCTGTACCTCCCTCCCGGCAGCCACCTGCCAAATCTACCTGTCCCCAGCACGGCCAATGCTTTCCTTCTCCTTCCCAGCCCCTCACATGCTGCTGCAGCCCCCCAAATCCCTTTAAAGATCCCAAATCCGCCCGCAACACCCGCAGAGATCAGTGCCGGAAAACCTCTCATGAATGCCCCCTCCCTTCTGTCCCACCCCCATCCTTCCCACAACACCTCCAATAGGTGTGAAACCCTATTGTAACCCCAAATCATCACCCTCAGCTCTGCGAACACCCCAAATTCTCCCACATCAAAGCCCTCAAGACCCCATCCTAAGGCTTAATACCTCTCCCCATCCCCTCTATTGCAGCGCCTCCAAAGCGCTGCGCTCCCCATCCCTCGCACCCCAACGCCCCCGACCCGGCGTTTAACGCTATTTCCTCCACGAGCAGGGCCACGGCTGTGAAAACCTCAGCTGCTCGCACATCAAATTCCTTCTAAATTCATCAAAACCCTCCAGATTCCCCCTTCAGCGCCCCTCCAACACACCCCCACCCCGCACACCGCTTCCCCACCCCACAGCCCCTTCAGCGCAGCCCTGGCGCTGGCTGTCACCCCTCTCCTCGCCTTCCCCGCTGTCCCCTCCGGTACCTGACGAAGGGCCCCGGGGCTCGGGGCCGGGGCCGGTGTCGCGGGGGCGGCGGGAGGAGCGCGGAGCGGCCGCACAGCGCCATGGCGACCGCGATGCGCCCGAGCGACGGGGCGGCTCCGCCACTGCGGCCCTGCGCCCCGCCCCGCGCCGCGCGCACCACTCGGCTTGGGGGGGAAAGGATATGGCAGACCCGCACTGCTCCCTCCGCTGCCAGCTTTTCTGTCCGCGCTGGATTCATCCTGAGTTTTTTCTCCTCTCGCAGGAAGTGCGGTTGGGAATTCTTGGATAGCGGCCCTAGCTGGGAGTGAACATAGCGAGGATGAGGTTGTTCACCCCTCCGTCAGGAATGGGCTCGTCCAAGTCCAGCCCCCTGCTCACACACCCCTCACGCCCCCCCGCTCGCTCTTGGGCGCGTCCAGCCCCCACCGCTGCTGATGTCCCGTCCCCCCCCCACGATGGGGCGTGGGCTCGTCCGATGTCAGGGAGGGGGACAAGGGACCCGGAGACCCCCTGAGACCCCAGGGAGGGGGACAAGGGACCCCTGAGAGACCCCCTCAGACCACGGGGAGGGGGGACAAGGGATCCCTGAGACGGGAGGGGGGACAAGGGACCCCTGACACCCCCTGAGACCCCGGGGAGGGGGGACAAGGGACCCCTGAGAGACCCCCTGAGACCCCCTCAGACCACGGGGAGGGGGGACGAGGGATCCCTGAGATGGGAGGGGGGACAAGGGACCCCTGAGACCCCCTGAGACCCCTGGGAGGGGGACAAGGGACCCCTGAGACCCCGGGGAGGGGGACAAGGGACCCCTGAGAGACCCCCTGAGACCCCGGGGAGGGGGACAAGGGACCCCTGAGACCCCCTGAGACCCCGGGGAGGGGGACAAGGGACCCCTGAGACCCCCTGAAACCCTTGAGGAAGGGTGATACAGAGCCTGGAGGAGTAGGGGGACACAAAAACCCCCAACATTCCGCAGAGCCCTGAGGGATGGTGTGTCCTGGAGCTCCACAGAGCGATGTACCCTGGTACCCCCAAAGTATTGTCCCCAAAATCACCTTATAGCACACAGACATGCCCTGGCTCCCTGTGTCCCCTCAGCATTGCACCCCCCCATGGGACCCCTCCCCAGCTGTCTTTCCCTAAAAAAGCACCACAGCCCCATCTGGCCACCCCTCTGGGGTGTCACCAGCACCCCACATGGTCCTTTTTGTGTTATCCCCAAAGAATATCCCCCCTTTCCAACCAGCACCCCTCTGTGCTTGGCTATGTCCTAACAACCAGCACAACCACCCTTACAGACACCCTTTATTCTCTTTACACCAGAAATTCAGGGGGTTTTGCCTGCTCTGCCCAGAGATCCCTGCCCTGTCTGCCCTCTGACCCCCTTTCCCCAGTCTTTTCCTATTTTACTGATGTGTCACCATTGCCAAACAACTGAGCCAGCACCCCTCAGCTCCCAGGGAGCAGGAGCAGGGATTTTGGGTCCTGCACAGAAAACCTGCGTGGATCTATAAAGGACTGAGGTCACCACAACTCAGGGAAGGATCTGGAGCCAGGCTTTGAAGGGCACATGGCTGAAACCCATTAATCCCACATCCCTCAGCTGAGGGGACACATCCTGCTCCTCCTGCATGCTCCTGCCTCACCACCCACCCTGGGGGAAGGACCAGAGGTTGAGTAAGCACCAAGGAAAGCTGAATATGCTGTGGAGGCTCTCATTCCCCCCCAGAACGTTAATCCCCATCCCTCAGTGCTAATCTGTGAGCAGCTCCCTGCACCATTAATCCCCCCAGCTCCTCATCCCTGGTGGAGAGTGGGATAACACCCCTTGTCTGCATCTTATTTTAATTACACCAGTACTTGCCAGCAGCGGTGTAAAGCCCAAAATCTGCAGCTGTGGGGTGTGATGGAGACACGGGGCTGCCTGGAGCAAGCTCCTTTTCCCCTCCCAAAGGATCCCAATCCAGTGGGAAGCACTCAGAGGCTCTCACTCCCACCTCACCAGTGCAGGTGAGAACACGTTCCAAAGTGTTATTTCCTTTTTTCCCCAAAAACCAAATCGGACTTTGCTCAGTGCCATAGAGCAAAGACAAGATAAATAAATATTCTGGGCCATGGCCCAGCTGCCCTGCAGCCACTGGGAAGCATTTTAGCTGGCCTTGATGAAATTCTGATGGTTCCATGTACAGACAAGTCCCCACGGCGCAGGTTGTGCTGACAAGGAGCTGGCACCATCCCAATCCCAAATTCTTCCTGTTTTTTGAGCCCCTGGACACACTTTGAGCTTGCTAAGGCAGCATCACCAACAGGAGCTGAAGGCCTGGAAGCAAAAGTGGATAGGATTGCTAAAAAGCCTTGGCTTTCCTCTAGAAGGATCCTGAAATGCATCTCTCCTGCTCCTCTTGTCATTTGCTGAGTGGGACAGTGTCCTGCAGAGCTCCTGCTGGTTGTCACATGCCACTCCATGAACCACCAGCTTCCAGAAGGTTTTCCCAAGCCCCCTCTACATCCAAAACCCACAGAGGGAAGGAGACATGTCCTGACAGCACATCCTTCCCCTGCAACATCTGAGTGCTCTATTGGCTCCTTCCATCTCCTCTTCATCTCCATGGGCCTGCCCAGGCACTCCAAAGCCCCAGGAGCACATGGTGGTAGAGGAGAGGGAAAAGGGACATTCCCAGGATGGGATTTTTAGGGACATTTTACCCCCAAAACCCTTTCAACCAGCAAGAGGAGATATTTCACACCACTGCTGTGGCCTGCAGCCTCGTATCTCCCTTGGGATGACAAATCAGGTCAACAACCTGGAAAACACCCAACAGAGAGGTCAGGCTTCCTGGAGAAGGAGTGAGGTGAGGTGGAAGGGGAAAGAAGGTGACATCAGCTATTGTTCCTGCTCTCCAGCTTCCTGAGCTTCCCTATCCCACTATTGTTGCACATTTTGAGGGCTGCAGAAGCTGAATGAAACCCACAACAACTCCCAAAGAGAGGAAGAGGGGAGGCAGAGTGGTTTGGAAAGAGGGGGAAAGCTGCTGCTGATGCTCCTTTGTGGGTCCTGCTGACCCAGATTTTGTCCAAAAGCAAACAGCAGATGTGGGTTGAGTCTGCTCGTGTAGGGCTGATCCTCGCTGTGTTTTCAGCTTGGGTACCTCAGGGTTGGCATCTCCCCATGGAGACAGCTGTCTGCACACCCTCCTCCCTGGATACCTGTTTATTTTTAGCAAATCCCTGCTGGAGAAAACAATGTTGTACTCACAGAGAGGCCAAAATTAGCTGTTCACCCTGAGATGTGCACCTGGAGAGGTTCTTCATTCCCCCATCCACGAGGAATGACTAAACTTCCCACCCTGGGCTGATGAGGCTGAATTTGATTTAAAAATTGATTGGTACATCCCATCCCACTGGGACCTGCACAACCCTTCCCCATGGAAAGCATTGGCTGCTGGGAATGTGGGCTGTGGGATGGCTTTGACATCCTGGTGCACACTAAGGAACCATCCAGGACTCCCCAGGGTGGTGGAACCAAGGGAAAACCTGTCTCCATCCTTGATGGGCAAAGGCAACCCCAGAAATAACCCCAGAGTCAGCAGCTCCAAATAAAACCAAACAGAAAAGCTTTATGACTCAGAAATCCCACTTTCAGCATCCTAAGAGCCAAGGATGCATCCTTTAGGGCTTTCAATTTGCATTTTCCTTATCCCTCTGGAGCATCCAGGAGCTATTTTCCTACTGCAACAGCACTTTTAAGGAAATCATTCCGATTTCTTGGAGAGAAAACATGAATTGTGCTCTGCTTGCACGGTAAACAAACAAGGCAGTCCCTTGCTGTGCTTCATAAGAACTGTTTTTCTTCCTTTTTGCTCGGATTTATGGGATTCTGTTGAATTTATGGGATCCCATGAATGTTTCAGAGGAGTCCACCCTCCAGGCAATGGATGTTCACTCAGAGAATGGACTTGCTGCCTTCAGAGCTCTTACTGAAAAATTTATGAATAGCAAGAGAAAGGAATAAAATGAGACTGTTTGAAAAGTTTCCCATTTTTACCTGGGGAGGGAAAATTAAGTAATAAATTATGATGGCTATAAAAAGCCTCCTACTCCATCTATCCAAGTTCTTCAGGCTAGAAAATCTTCATTCTTCTCTAGTGCTATTTTGGGAGGAGAGATATTAAAATTTTCTCTGCCCTGAAATTATTGTTTTACTCTTACCACAAAAAAAAGCAGCCCCCAGGTCAAAGAAAACAAAAGGGTGAGTTACTTCAACAAGCTGAGATCTGCTTGTTTATACCACCCTGAATCTGGCACCACACACCCATCAAACACAGGGTGGAGATGCAGGAGGTGATGGAGACACAACACACAAAGATCCTGCAAGCACAGGAAACGTCTCAAAAAATAGCAGTGCTGACCCTGAGTTACCCAGACTTGTTTTGTTATAGCCACTGCTCCTTGTAAATGAAGAGTTTGGCTAAGAAATAGAGGGGGCTGAGGGTGACCAGCAAATAGAAAGGATTTTTTTGGATTTTCTGTTTGCAAACTGGCTCCATGCAAGGGGGGAATTTGGTGCTGGTGGAGGTCACTGCTGAAGTTCCTTTTGGCTTTTCCAACAGTGGATGGAGCAAAGAGATGTTTGCTGCCTGATGGGGGAACAAAGCACTGCCCCTGAGAATAATTTGATGTCATGGCTTCTTCATTTCAACATGTTTAGGGACATCTCCAGGTGCTATAGGATCGTGGAGTAACTTGGGTTGGAAGGGACTTGAAGACTGTCTTCTTTTGGCCATACCAGATTTATCAGCACAGCATTTGGTCTGCAAAAAATCAGGAAATTGCTGTCTGGAGGGGTGTGAGGGGTGTGCTGGTGTCTCTTCCCCAGCACCCTGGATGCTCTGGAAAAGTTCTTCAAAAGAAGCAACAGTCTGGATATGGTTTAGGATCAGAGGGAAATTCAGGTTGGAAGGAACCTCAGGGTGTCTCTGCTCCAACCTCCTGCTCAAAGCAGGGGCACCCATGAGGTCACACCAGGTTGCTCTGAGCTGTTTTCAGTTTGCTTCTGAAACCATCCAAGGATGGAGACACTGA